AATAAGTAAAAAGATTCTGTATCAAGTCACACGTGCCATCACTCACGTGATTGGCTTGCTGGGCACCTATGACTAGCAATATGGACTTCCTCGTATCAATATCTCTTGCCATATCTGCATTTGTGTAACCTGTCAACATAGGTGGTCCACGTCCAAAGTTTAAACAAACCTTAAAGCTCACTCTGAGATATCTAAAAAGCCACTTCTCTGCTACCTAATGCTCTTTGCTTGGATTTGCAAGAAATCTACTAGTAACACCCACTACATATGCGATGTCCGACCTTGTACATACCATCGCATACGTTAAACTTCCAACTACTGAAGCATAAGGAACCTTTTGCATCTTCTCCTTCTCTTTATCACTTGACGGACTCTATTCTGAACATACTAGAAGTGACCTACAAGTGGAGAACTAACTGGTTTTGTATTGCTTATATTGAACATTTCCAATACCTTCTCGATGTATTTCTCCTATGACAATAAATCTTCTTATTTTTCCTATCACGGGAAATTTTTATGCATAGCATTTGCTTTACTAGCCCCATATCCTTCATTGCAAAAGACTTATTCAGTTCTTTCTTCAACCTATCAATTATAGACATATCTTTCCTAAAAATAAGCATGTCATCAATATAAAATAAGAGAATAATAAAATTCTCATCAAACCATTTGAAATACACACAATGATCTGAAACTGTTCTTTTGTATCCATTTTTTGTCATAAATGAATCAAACTTTCTATAACACTCTCTTGGAGCTTGCTTTAGCCTATGCAAGCTCTTCTTCAACTTACAAACAAAGTTTTCTTTACCTTTGACTTTGAAGCCTTTTGGTTGCTCCATATAAATTTCCTCCTCCAAATCACCATGAAGGAAACTGTCTTCACATCTAACTGCTCAACCTCCAAGTCTTGGCTAGCAACAATACCAAGAGCAACACGAATAGAAGACATTTTAACAACAGGAGAAAAAATCTCTTCAAAGTCAATACCTTTCTTTTAACCAAAGCCTTTCACAATCAATCTAGCTTTGTACTTTGGTTGAGAACAATATTCTTGAGTCTTCAACCTAAAAACTCATTTGTTCTTCAAGGCCTTCATTCCCTTTGGTAGTAACACCAAATCATAAGTGTGGTTCTTCTAAAGAGCATCCATCTCTTCTTGCATAGCAACTAACCATTTTTTTTTCTACTCACTTTCAATTACTTCCTGATAACTCTCTAGTTTACCTGTATTAGTAAGCATCACATACTCATATGTAGAGTACCTTCTAGGGGGGGGTTTCGCCCGCGGGAGAAGCGGCGGCAGGCGCTGCTTCCTTGCGGCGGTAGGCGTCGCTGCCCTGCGGCGGCAGGCGCTGCTTCCTTGCGGCGCCTCTGCCCGTGGGCTGCCAGCCCCGCCGGCAACAAGCCTGCTGCAAGCAGGCCGCCGGCCGGCTGCTGCAGACGCAGCCCCTATGCTGCCCGACTTCGGCTGCGCTTCACGCACACAGATCGAGGGCAGCAACTGTTGCTGCCATTACTTCCTGATAACTCTCTAGTTTACCTGTATTAGTAAGCATCACATACTCATATGTAGAGTACCTTCTGGAAGGTTGACGTTGTCTAGAAGATCTTCTCAACTGAGGTTCTAAGGGAAGTTGCTCTCCAACTTCTTCTTGCTCAACATATCCTGTAGGTAGATCAACATCAGGCTCTACACTATCTTCCTACACATCTCCCACCCTGATATACTAGAGGAGTAATTGGGTCACAATCTGCTAACCCTTCTGTAGAAGTCTTGGCTGGTGCCTTCTTCTCCAAATCCTCAAAGGTTTGATTCTCAAAGAAGACTACATCTTTGCTTCTAAACACCTTTTGCTTTTCTAGATCCCAAAACCTTTAAGGTCTAGCAATACCTCTCTTTTGGAAAGAGCTTGCAGCCCCTTCTCACTCGTATGTCCTAGTCACCTATGCCACAACTCCATGCTGATGTCTTTCTCTATAACATTTAACTGCTCACCACAAGCTTTGGCCTGCAACCTATATAAAGTGTGACATTTCATTCCACTAGCCACAATAAGAGAACCCTTACTGAGCTTCTATTGCCCTTTGTAAAATCTGCTATCATAGTCTTCATCATCTAGTCTTCCAACTGAAATTAAAGTCAACCTCAAGTCAACCACATGCCTCATATCCTTAAGCACTAACTTGCAGCCAAGGTTTGTCTTTAAATGGATATCACCCATGCCAATGATATCTATCGTGTCATAGTTGCCCATCTTGACAACACCAAAATTTCTAGACTTGTAGGTAGCAAAAAACTCCCTCTGTGGTATAGCATGATAAGAAGAACCTGTGTCAATCACCCACTCAAGATCCTAACACACACAAGAAAAAATATCATAAGAATGAGACAAAATCAAATAATCACCACCTTGCACTATAGCTGTAGTATTATCCTTTGACTCTGTAGACTCCACTTCTTTTTCTTTTTTCTTGCTCTTCTTAGGTTGCTTACATTGATTCTTGTAATGTACTTTCTCACCACAGTTATAACAAACAATATATTTTCTTAATCTTGACTTGCTTCTACCCATGCGTGAACTGCTTCTAGACTTTGACATTCCTTTGTTCTTTGAGATAAGTGTCTATGAATCATTCTGAGATATTACTGAATTCTTTCTTTTCAACTCCTTATTCAACAAACTGCTTGTTACTTGACTCATAGTGACAACACCTTCTGGCGTAGAATTACTAAAGGAAACCACCAGTGTTTTCCAACTTTCTAGTAATGAACTAAGAAATAACAATGCCTGCAACTCATCATCAAGAGACATTTTCATATAGGATAACTGGTTAGTGATACTCTGCATTTCATTCAAATGCTAAAAAATAGAAGCACTCTCTCTATATTTTAGGTTCATAAGTTTTCTGATCAAAAAAGCTTTGTTGTTAGTTGTTTTTCTTTCATAGAGACATTTCAACTTTTTTCAAAGAGAATATGCAGAAATTTGAGTAGAAACATGGTGAAAGACACTATCATCAAGCCACTATCGAATAAACCCAACTATTTTTTTATCTAACCTCTTCCACTCATCATCTATCATAGTTGTGGGTTTTATACTATCCCCTTGCAAAGGTCCATATAAATCTTTACAATACAAGAGATCTTCCATTTTTTGTTTCCATATCATCCAATTGTTTCAATTCAAACTAATCATGCGAGAAATACTACTGGCCTCCATGTTCAAATACAAAATTAAATCATCACAACCCTGCTCTAATACCAATTGATGGGATATAAAGTGAAACTAAACTTTTGTATATAAACAAATACTAGCAGGCCATAACACGCAACGAAATTAAATGGAATCACAATAAAATAGAACACTAAGATTTACGTGAAAAATCCTTCTAATATGAAGGGTAAAAACTATAGGATAAACTAGAGATAATCCACTATAAGAATAATGAATATACAAATCTCAATCTCTTGCCCAAAACCCTTGTAACAATCATAAGAGAATAACTGTGATACAAGGATCATGTCACTGTGCATAATATTCAAATTCTCTCCTAAGTAATCATAGCAAGAATCTATTGTAGATATGATCTAACCTGAGATGAGAACACTGCTAGATGATTGAGAACAATCTATCTGTGTTGTTCTTGTTTTCTTCCCTTTCTTTCTCTTATTTTTCTGCCTTTTTTTCCTTTTTGAATTAAGATGCTGCTGCAATGATCTCCCCTGCTGTTGCTGCAGTTTTCTCACTCGTTGCTATAGTTTTTCCTCCTCTTTTCGTAGCCCGCCACACCCCCAATATGAATCTAGGATTTAAAGAAATGGAGGGTGGGCTGTGGGCTGTTAAAGCCCACTATGGGTTAAACTTGGTGGGCTGTCAGCCCAATAATAGCTTCACACACTTATCCACTATAACCTCGATGGCCCCTAGATTCATGTTCAGTAATGCAATATTTCTCGGTGATCTCAAGGCTGCTTTTGTAGTCGGAGAAGATGGGCATGATGATGATGCTGTGTTGGAGAAATTAGATTATAACAGTGGTGTTGTAGCAAAGAATTCTAGATATACTGATGGTGGGTATGCCAATAGTGGATTCACATGCCCAACATGTGATCGTCAATGCTGACTCAACAGTAGACGCCATTGTTCCGGGAAAAAAGGTTGTTGAAAACTTAGTATGACTTCTTAGTGCTCAATAGTCACCTGTTTTGATATTATCGCTGGAGTCCTCAATGCTTCTGCCATTGATGCCTTTGTATCAGATTTTAATTTTAATGTGCTTGTTAGGAATAAAAATAGGTGACGTTCGAGGTTATCGTCGAAAAATTTTTCATAGATCCAAAATGAATATGTTGAGAATTGATTCATGATAGTTATTTAGGTAATTATCATATTCTAAATAGTTATAGGCATATTCTAAATAGTGATTCATGATCTATAAGTTATGGGATAGTGCCATGATAGGATTAGTTAGTTACCACTAGGTCCTATAGATGAGATCATAGTTAATGAAGCAAGGTAGAGTATGTACTTGAGAATGTCTTGTAAGTGTTCTCTGTCTTACCTCTTGTTTAATACTACATCGGATTTCTTGATTGAATGCATTCACTTTTAGTGACATCATATTATTATATTTTTATTTTTTCCTTGCTCCTCCATGCCCAATATTTGTGGTATTAGAGCTAAGTTTCAATCTTAATTAGACATTATGGCTTTCATTGGCAATTTCATATCTCAACCCCTTATTCTCATCTTCTTAGACAAATGCTATGAACTTTGGAATATCAAAATGAAAACTCTATTCAAGTCTTAAGATCTTTAAGAGTTAATAGAGAATGTATATACAAATCTAAATGAAAAAAACAGGCTAAGAGAGAATTGAAAAAATGACTCAAATATATTATTTTTATTCAATAAGTTATACATTAGATAATATTCTCA